TTGGCAAGTCAGCCCACTGTTTCACTCATTCATCACAATGGATTTGCAGAAGTCCAGACAATTCCGCAAAACTTCAAAGACAGAAGGAAAACCTTCGCGGCTGGAATAGAGGCATTCGAGTAAAGCGCGACTGACGAAATGTTTCAGATGCTTCTTTCTATATGCATCAGAACACGGCCAGCTGCAATATCGCAAGGACTTGCAAAATAACTAAGTAATTTGAAAAAGAAGACGATGCAATACGAGGCAAAAAAAAAAAAAAACTACAACTCACCGAGAAATGTGCTTCTGGCAAGCTAATCTTAGGGCACTCACCGGCAGTATTTTTTCCAACGTCCGCATTCTTTTCAGTTCGCTGCTCATCGCCCAGTGTGTCATCCCTTTTTCTTAAAAAAATTGCAGTTATCTAGTCATAATCTTTATAAAATCCTTGAGACGAATCTTTGCTCGGTTTTATCACTATGAAAGTGATCATTAGGGCAGACAGTCCCTTTTTTTTTAACAAAGGCATTTATTCATGGTAATTAAATCGCATAGCAACCAAGCGTTGCGAACAATGGCAGACCATAAATAAACACCAAGGCGCACCAGACTAGCCCGTGCGATCATGCGTTTGTGCAATTCAGCCCATCGAACAACTGTCTATTGACTTTCGCTGCTTTGTACTTTAGTCTACGCAAAAGTAGTTGAAACATTGGAAAATAGTTAGAAATTTCACGCACCTAGGCATGGCATGAAAGTCGAATTCGAAACCTTGAAGGATGAATATTTTTCTGTAATCCCCGAGTTAACAGTTCACCCGCCAAAATTTTCACGAGGCCGTAGGTGATACCCGACAGCGCGGGAGCGTTGAATTTAAACAGACAGGGTTGAGCGTGGTCAGGGGGTCATTACCCCAAAATTTCAGCTTTGTAGATTTTGTGATTCCCGAGATAATAATTAACCCGCAAAAATTTTCACTAGCCCGTAGGTGATACCTGAGAGCGCAAGAACGCTGAGTTTGAACAGGCAAGGTTGAGCGTGGGCAGGGGGCCCTTACCCTAAAATTTCAACTTTCTAGACTCCGTGGTTCCCAAGATAATAATTTACCCGTCAGAAATTTTCACGGGGCCGTACTTGTTACCCACGGGCAGGAGAAAGCTGAATTTAAATTTTCTGGGTAGCACATGGACGGGGGACATGCTCACAAAATTTCAGCCTTCTACCTTCCGTGGTTCCCGAGATACTGATTTTACCCGAAAAACTTTTACAGGGCCGTACGTGTCGCCCGCGGGTACGGGTAGTCCAAATTTAAATCTGCCGCGTCATCCGTTGGCGGGGAACACTATGCTAAAATTCCACCCGCCTAGCTTTTGGGGTTCACGAGTTGAAAGTGCGGGACAAAATGTGGGAAACACACACACACAACCCCGTGAAAGTATACGTTTTGTACTGCTGTTATACAGCAAAAAACGCATAACAAGCATTATAGGCCTATGTATTGCTTTGCTGCACTATAAAATCAGCTCCATTCCATATTTGACTGCACAAAGCATTGTAAATTC